ATTAACCCATTAACAGGTTATGGGCCTAGGTAAATAACGCGAATTGACTGAGTGGGTAGTGTGCGAAAAGTGCAGAAAGTAGAAAGACGCGGAAGTGAAATTAAAAACTCAAGTTCTAAGTTTAAGTGTTGAGTGCATAATGGAGAAAGCATAAAAGCGCAATAGAAATCCATTCAAAGGTGAAAAATACGCGATCTGGAAATTTCGTGTAAATTCATTACTCGGTGAACTCGAAGTTTTACGCGGCGTCCCCCCCGAAGCAAGTGATGCGTGGCTTAAGCAAAACGCGACTGCTCGAAATATTCTTAATGTACGTATTTCTAAATTTTGCCAAGGGCGAGCTTTACGTCAAGGTCAAAGTTATTGTCGATAGCCTGGACTTCATGTACGAGAGAAAAAGTCTCGCCACACAATTAGCAAGCCGAAAAAGGTTGCAAGTTGACAAGACCTTGTTAACGACTAAGATTTATAATTATATGAATTCACTTGTATTGACATTAATTTCTTAAAAATATCTATATTTTGTACCAAAACGGATATACTTTTATAATTCCTGTAATAAGCATTATTGCTGTTGGAATTTTAAAAATTTTTTTTATTTTGCTTTTTATTTTTGAGTGAACGGGGTTTCAGCCAAGGCTGCTCTACCAGCCCAACCCACTATACATTTACAAATATCCATGCCCGAATCCGGATTTGAACCAGGGACCCTTAGCACCACAATTCAGCTTTAACTGAATGGTGCCACACGGGATAAAATAAATAAAAAAAACGCATTTCGTCAAATTCGACCAAATCATCACTCGCGTACATAATGATAAATCAAATTTAACACTTCCGAGTGCAATTACGGGACTATAGTAATAGCTAATGGCACTTATTTAAAGCAATCACAATATTACCACACAAGATGTTCAAAGCCTTAATACGTGGCCAGTGCCATTCTAGTGGGTAGTTATACAATTGTGTTACCATCCAAAAACATTGTTGTATTACTAATAAAAAAATTATAACTTCTAAAATTTTATTTTTGGCTTTTTTCTCGTGGGAAAATTAAAAATGGTTCGCTGGTGCTTTAATAGTATGTTATATACCGCGGGACTGAAGTAGTACTTTTAATTATTAAGACTAAAATTTTGGACCTCCAGGCATATGTCAAAATATCAAGTATTCTTCAGACTTACCAAATTCAATGACACATACACATCAAAAAATAAAATAGGTCTCCAATTATTTTGCGGTGGTTGGGAAACTTTCTAATGAAGAAATCATTATAAAAGAAATTTGGAAAATGAAAAGAAATTATGTTTGAGAAAGTTTAATTTCATAGATGAAGTCTTCCTGGACACGCCCGTAAAGGTGATTTGAATAAGATCGAGAATGCATTAATTGGACTAAAATGACACGTAAAGGTCCTTTTTAAGGATTACCCCCCAGCGAATCATCGCCATCATACTGTGCGATAGCTGACGCTTTACGATCTAAATATTTAACCGTCGACGAGGCAGTACAAGAAGAGTTGACATATTGCCTATTGATAAAAAGAAGAATATCGGTTGGATTATTGATCCCACTGTTAAATTCGAAGTAGACGAAATACAAGCCAAGATTTATGGTCCAACAACAGCCTTCTTCAAAGAATTATATGGATTACAAAAAGTCGATATCCTTGGACTACTTGTTGGTGCTCTCTTTTTTCAAAGAATTTTCCCACACTTTTGGATTACCATCAAAATTCTTAAAATTAATATCAATAACTACCATACAAAATTCCATTTACATTTTAAGAAATCATTTATGTACTTATATAATTAATTCGTTTGCTCTTTTTCATGTTTAAAATTGTATTGTAACCTTTGTTTGTTGTTGTTGTTTCATCAAGCCAGAATGTTGGGAAGGTGAAATTTATATAATAAATTTCTCTATACATACACAAATACGGTAATTATTCACACCTTTTATGTGCTATATCCAGGGGTTTCCCCTACAAAAAATCCGTTACCAAGTCTAGCTGTGTTATTAGCAAGACTTGCAAATACTGTAATTTCGTTAAAATTTCAAAAACCGTTTATTATTGCGGTTCAACCATATAGTACTCTCGTGGATAAAAATAGCCAACTTAACCCCTTTTGTAGCGCACAGAGTGATCAACATTAACGAATTAACAGATATGGATCATTGGAGACATGTGAAATGTGAACATAAAGCGGCCGATATTATTTCAGGTTGAATCAAACTAGCACAACTGTCACAGTTGGTGATTGGGGGGTGCAGGGACCGTCTTTCATATTCAACGGTGAATAGAAATCAGATATTTTTACTGAACAACGCTATCTCATCATTACCAGACATCAAACTAACTCTTCGAGATGATGAATTTAATAAATTTATTAGATATTCTACGTTAAGCCAATTGCAAGGGGTAGTAGTATTCTGCTTCAGATTTAAAAACATTACTTAAAAAAAACAAGATATTGACAAATACTCAGTTTCAGAGCTCGAAATATCACTTACAGCTTTAATTAAGATTGCTGAACACGAACAGTTTTCACATGGAAATCACACTTCCCCAGAAGTCACGGTCATACGTAATAATAGTAAATTAATTAGCTTACATCCATTTCTAGATGAACATATAGCGTTATTAGGGAAGGAGAGAGATTGAAAAATTCTCTTTCTGCTGAACTACGAAAACCAGTTTTCCACAATTTTGTGTGGTAAACATATTTTTACAAAACTCATCATTAAACACGAACATCTGAAACATTTACATGCCGGGACACGTTTAAAATATTGGACTATTCACGGTATTGGTGAAAACATACATACATATATATTTTTGTATGTGTCTCAATTCACGCAGTTCATATTGAACTAGTAAGCGATCTTTCCATCATCATAGTTTTATAATAGCAGTAAAGCGTTTTATATCACGGAGAGGAAAGCCAAGTGATTTGTTCCCGAAAAACGGATCTAATTTTATTGGTGCTCAAAACATTTTCGCGAACTCTACCTAGCTAACGCAAAATTCAGATCATAATGAGCAGGTTTAAATTTTTTTTCACACAAAAAAATTACTTGGCATTTTATTCCCCTTAGAATACTTCATATGGGAGTTTGACTTTGAAGTCCGTTTGACTAATTTCATTTAGCTGTTAGAATATTAAGAAATGCAAATGTGACGTATGAGGAGACGATAACAGTTTTAACGCAAATCGAGGTATGCACAATTTATTGTTTTTCTAAGCTTCCATTAGGGGGTTGGAGTATGTGCAATTTGCAAATATAATATCTAGTTAACAGAGAGTTTGTTTTAATGTAAATAAAGAAAGTCAGAAATGTAACGTCACAAAAGTAATCTACAGTCCTTCGATATTTATTTAATCAAAACCAATCACACGAAAGCCTTAGACGAATAAAGATGGTCTTTACTTTACGTCTGTGCTTTGTTGCAACTACCTCATTAACCCATTAACAAAGACATTTCAATAAAGACCATAGAGCTGATGATTTTTCCAAAACCAACATTCGAAGTAATCTTCAACACTGCTAAACGAATTTCCATGTGGCCATAAACATATCTGAGTTGTATTGAAATCTCTCACAGATTCCAGTAATTCTCATTGGACAAATTCACAGTAGGCAAACAAAAGAATAAGATTAAAGACCGAATTTTTGTTTAAAGAGGTACTTTACCAAAAGCTGGACTGGTCTTAGAGCATATCGGTTTATAACACAAAAATAATATCGATGCAAAAAGAGAGAAGACTCGACATTTGGGACTAATAAAAAAATAACCATTCGACGGATTTTGATGGTATGATACCAAATGAGACATTACCTAAAAAATTTTCGGTAATTAAACGTAGTGGTTCCTACACGTTCCCTTGTTTTATGTGCTTATTTACGGACACGTTTGATTAAAGACTAACACCTTTTATTACTGGTTCCACTTTTGTGTTGTATCAATACCACTTCGAAAATCTATATAAAGTGTTTCCGATTCTGAAAAGCTATATGTACATTCAAATTACATAGCGCTCAATCAAATCCAGATCGAAACACTAGCAGCCCATTTTTGAAGGATATCATGACATTGAAGGCGAAGTATGTCAAATTTGCCTGCCACGGTACAAATCATCTTCTGTATTTCAATTTGCAATTTGGAAAAATTAAGTAAAATTGGTTTTGTCAAAGTTAACAATGTGACGTGCAGAGGGGAAAATCTCTATTATTAGATTAGTTAAAATTCTAATTAAGAGATCATAAATATTTTTCTAGCTAATAAAGTACTTGAGATCTAATTAAGCAGAGCGGAGTCGTAATAAATAAAAGGTCGGAGACTATAAAGAACTTAAAAATATTTAATTATGATAAATCGTCGAACCTAAACGTACTTATTAAATTAGCCTTTCCAAAAATATACTCCCCTGTAAACGTGCAGTAAAATGTGGAATTCATTTTTCAGTCGCCCTGAAATTTGGTCAAATCGGTATTGTATATTTAATTTATGAAATTATGACGTACGAAAATTAGGTACCTTTTAAGCGATCCCAAAAATGCAAAAGTACTGTCGAATGGGTTTAACACATGTAAAGTTATCTCAAAGCCAAAAGGCGGAGAGCATTCAATTTTGAAGGTGACGAAGGATTAAAGGGAGGTTCTATTAAGGGAAACTGAACTAAATGTGTCAAATGCTAATCTTTGCTTAATTTAAAACGTGAGCACGCCATTTACATTAATTTCGTACCGAATTAATAAAGCAAAGGTCGTCGATTGTGTGACAAAAATATTAATTGCTTGCAGCCGTGGTAGCCACAGACGAATTAGTATTCGTGGTACGAGACAGATCATAAATTGGTTGATATAATAATTCGATAACTCAAACTATTCCCAATTGAGCGTCGAAGTCGCCTCGTCAATTGGAAATTAATTAAACTCGAAAACGCAAAACATATTTTCTGTGCAAACATAAAGTGTTTATCCTATTTTAAAATTACCTGTACAAAACACCGATATTTCTAACATCATCCTTAAAACTGTCGTAAAAATTTTCATCGTGTACATTCTAAATTGCCAAACTACATTATTTAATGAAACGTGTGAACACCTCACTTTCGAGACATAGATTACGAAACTTATGGAGGGAAAGCAAGTCACGTGTACGTAAAGCTTTCTATACGGCTACGCACCTACAGATACACTGAAAACAGGGAGCAATTCTGCAGCTTTTCCAAAATTTTGTGCGCAAGCGTTTGATTATGACGAACGTTTCAGAAGTTATTTTGTCAAGTAACTTTTTTCCGATTGTTACTATTACGGCATATTTTTTTTAGACACTGTCTTTAACGTTAAGGTTAATTGAATGAAGCGTTTCTTAGATCCATGTAATATGCAATGAGCAGGTCGCTAAAAAAGCTTAATACATTACGACGTTGGCTAATTTCATATTCCTATCCAATATTACAGCCACCTCACAGCAATTAACCTTGTTAAGCTTGCTAACACCACATTGCTTTACGTTAACACTACACCATTAATTTGTAAATCTTTGTACCTACTCCGGAACTACGGTTAGGTATACTCTCCCATTTTCTGCTGAGGACAAGCGTTGATCGTTGAACACAACTGAGAAATGGTATATGGGTAGTGCAATGATCCTGTAAATCCTGTAAACGCTATAAACACCATTAACCATCTCGGCCCGGTGTTCTGAAGAATCACGTACTCAAATTACAAATTTTGTCTGTTAACAACTGAAGGGGATTTATTTCTTTTCTGTTTACATTTTATCCTGGTTACAGCCCTTTAAATTTTCTTTCGAAATTGGTTTCTAGTCTATAACTTTTGATTGAGAAGTCTAATCGAAAAAGTACGAATTGTTTTGGATTCTACGCCCCAAAATTATTAAGAAAAAGTGTTTTCCCGAGAAATTTTGGTGTAGTCGATTTTTGGTAAAAAAGGAAGGTTATACACTGCCTTTTTTTGAGCCCCGAAAAAAAATGGTCTCAGATCGACCCGGAAAAAAATGTTCTTATAGAATGTGGCCTGTAGAATCCATAATTTCAAACAGTTCCAAGATTGGGCTACTAGTTCAAAAGTTACAGCCCTTTGAATTTTTCTTCGAAATTGGTTTCTAGTCTATAACTTTTGATTGAGAAGTCTGATCGAAAAAGTACGAATTGTTTTGGATTCTACGCACCAAAATTAATAAGAAAAAGTGTTTTCCCGAGAAATTTTGGTGTAGTCAATTTTTGGTAAAAAAGGAAGGTTATACACTGCTTTTTTTGAGCCCCGAAAAAAAATTGTCTCAGATCGACCCGGAAAAAAAATTTTCTTATAGAATGTGGCCTGTAGAATCCATAATTTCAAACAGTTCCGAGATTGGGCTACTAGTTCAAAAGTTACAGCCCTTTGAATTTTCTTTCGAAATTGGTTTCTAGTCTATAACTTTTGATTGAGAAGTCTAATCGAGAAAGTACGAATTGGTTTAGATTCTACGTCCCAAAATTAATAAGAAAAAGTGTTTTCCCGAAAAATTTTGGTGTAGTCGATTTTTGGTAAAAGAGGATATTTGGTTTTTCTGTCCGGCCATGCGTCCGTCCGTCCGTCTGTGTACATGATAACTCGCGAACGGTTTCGAATTTTCCAATTCTGTTTTCAGTAATAGGGCGACAATGGTCCAAGGGACTAACTGATTCAATTTTGGTCAAAACTTGTCAACTGGAAGAGTCTTTGTCGCCCGTCGTCTGTATTGGGGCAGTTTATTAGCTCTAGTCACAAAGTAAAGTAAAGTGAAAAACAAACATAGTTCTAATTCGTAATCACTATCGAAATTTCTCATGGTCTAAGCGAGTTCTCGCATAGGTCCTTTTCTCTGAGATATTATTGGCCATAATAAACTAAAACCGAAACTAAAACTTAACTAGACACTTTTGAAATTGATGTCGATTTCGTTGCTTGTTTTTATTAGCATCAAGCGCAAAAATAATGTTTGCGTTACTTTGCAATATAAAAGAGGAAAATACTTTCGCAGGAAACCTGGCCCCAACGCTTGATATTAAAATTAAGTTCAACATGCCATAGGAAAGTGTGTCTCGCGCCGATAATGAAATACTTTAGAGGGGTTTTATGTTATATGAAGAAGTGTTCGAACCAGGCAAATCGTTTTAAAAATCCTATTGAATTTAGAATCACGTTGGATGGAATGTGCTTACAAAGTGTTAAGTGCATTACACTATTATATTATGTATAAATTAATAGAAGATTAAAGGAAATCGCGCGTAAAGCGGCAGATGAGTGGATTGGATTTGAGCCATTTTCAATAGGCTACATGTGGTATTATACCACTGACCTATATAATATAGGTCAGCTAAAGAGATCTCTTTTGGATAACACAGGAAAATATTTGCTTTGAAAGGTTGGTAAGAATTTATGAGCTTATTACGAAGCTTTATGCATAGTGTTTGCGCTTTAAGTCGCGTTTAAACCGATGACAAAGATAAAATACAATTAAAATTCTTATTTTTGTATGTAATTTAATTTTACTTTCGCATTAGAATTAGGTAGTATTGGTTATTTTCTTTGCAGCTCCTAGAAGCTTTACTTTTGTCACGTGGATACCTCCTAGGATTATTTCATTTTCATGATCTTTGTGTCCACTGATGAAGATCAACAATCCTGATCACGATTGTTGGATGTTATAATGAATAAATATTATACCTGAAGATGAAATGGCGTCAATGGAAAAAACTCTCCTCACAATGAACATTGAACAATAGACGAATCTGTGTTACAGCGAGGATCCCTACCACCTTATTTGAAAAACCAAATAAAACTGCTAAATCATTACAACCGTTCCCATGATGGCGTTTACTGAAAGTGCTCGGCGCTCGAGCGCCTTTTACTGTTTGCGAGCGTTTTTTCCGCTCATGAGCCTTTTTTGATCGCTCGCAAGCTCTTTTCCTCTCGTGAGCGTGTTTTTTTCGCTCCCGAGCACCTTGTCCGATGACACACGTTTATTCGGCTTTAGAGCTTTTTTCCGCTCACAAGCGCTTTTTCCGCTATTTAGCGTTTTTTCCGCTCACGAGTACTTTTTCCGCGCGCACGCGATAAACCGCTCGAGCACTTTTAGGAGTGTTCGGAACTCAGAAACGAATTCGCTTTGCAAAACCGCTCGATGCTCGCGAGCGTTTTTGGGACAATTAAATCGTCGCTCGAGCGGTTTCTGAGAATGTTCGAGCCAGCTCTGTTCTCACCTAACCTAACCTCATTCGTACTTTAACATAACCTTCAACCACCTCCTCGCACATTGCTTTAAAAAACATTATGAGGGTCACACTGTAATTGGGCGCAAGCCTGTTGAGGTCCCAGAACAAGAGAGGGATAATAAATTAAAAAAAACATATTCTTCTGATCACTTACCCTAACTTTCACTCCAACCTAACCTCACTAATACTTTAACGTAACCTTCAATCACATCCTCGCACAGTTAGGCTAGGTGAAAAATCTTGTATCAGGAGAATGTAATGTGCGAGGAGGTGATTTGAGGGTTATGTTAAAGTATTAGTGAGGTTAGGTAAGATGCGATGTGAGAAATCTTGTATCAGGAGGATATAATGTGCCAAGAGGTGATTGAGGGATACTTTAAAGTATGAGTGAGGTGTTACCCCGAATAATGGTTTTTCTCCCGCGCCCCTCGAGCGGCGGGATTTCGAGTTGGCAAATTTGGGTGTATCTTTAGAAAAGCATTCTCAACCATCTCACCAAATTTCATCTCTCTATCACATTTTGCAATTAGACCCCGATTTTTAGTCAGCACTAAAATATTTTTATGCTATCCGATCCCACTAATCCGCCAATCACCTTTTTTTTTGTATTCAAGCGAAAAATCACTTAATTCGGATGAAAAAGTTTTTTTACAGTACTTTTTGAATATGATATCGCGTAAGTGGTCGCCATTGGCTCGCCTGACCAAATGGGCCCGCTTTCGACGTTTTTCATCGTTTTCGCCAATGTCTCGGTCGAGATGGCGGCTATTTCCCGTCGAATATTGGCCTTAGGTGCACGTACGGCCTTCGGCTTGTTCCCATAAATCTTTGACTTCAGTATCCCCAAAGGAAAAAGTCCGGCGCCGTCAAATCTGGCGATCATCACCACCACCTTTTGATATTAAGCGGCCAGGGAACAAAGTCTTCTATAAGGGTATAGTTTCTTTAGCAGTGTGTGATGGAACACCGCCTTGTTGGAACCAGAAGTGTTCCATACCTTTTTCACGAAAACTCGGATCATAGCCCGATAGCCCACTTGATTAAGGGGTTGTTCGCTGACCACGGTCATTTTCGAAGAAAAACGGTTATGGGATTATCCATGGGCTAATAAGGGTAAGGCCATGGGATTATCGACAGTACCAGTAGACAAAAATCTGTAATGATAGTTATATACAGAGTGTTTGTGATGGGTGTTTTTGTACCCATACCGTTAACTGGTCGGCCATTTTGTTCCGACGAGACCAAATTGGTTTTTTAATTAATTTAAAACGACCTAAAATAAGTCAATACCATTCATCCATACCATTTTCGTAGTAACACTGCCGATTGGCAAAATCGAAGGGATACAACAAACATTACTCATAAGGTTAATACAACACAATACTTGGCCCCATTTGCGAAATAATAAATAAATCATTTATGATTACAGGCGGTCGAGATTAAGAATTGAATACGTTCCTTTTGTTTTATATCTAAAACAAAATAATTGGAATAACAAAACTTGAAAACAAAATTAATATTTAACGTAACGGTTTGATGTATTATAATATAAGCAAGATGATAATTTAGTACGCTATTACGTTGGAAAGCAAGCAATATTGCGACGATATAATACCAGCCACTCAATAATAAACGGGCTGTCCAAAACAAATGGGACATTTCAGTAAACCACAAACACCAACCATATGCTTTAAGATACGTAAGCAATCGTCAACTACCCATCCTTTTATTTATGAAATCTCTCTCTTTTTCCACCCTTAAATTGAGTCCGAACGTCTCCATTTTCAAACTTCAAATGCAACATTGCTCAAAGTAACTAAGTTTAATAAACATCAGCTCGAAAAGAACGTCCCAAACTTTTAAAACTAAAACAAACACTCCTACAATAAAATAATTGGAATCTACATCCAG